CTTGAATGATTCTCAAGGATGGTATCTAGACTTCAGAGGGTATGACCTCTTCTGTTCCGTATACTAACAAGTATGGAGTGGATCCAATCAACGTTCTGATGGTTGTTCGATAAACCAATAAAGCATATGGAAATATCTCATGCCAACCTCGGTGATTGTCAATCATTTTCCTCAGAATCTTCTTGATGTTCTTATTGACAGTCTCTACAACTCCATTCATTTGAGTACGATAAGCGGTTGAATAACGGTGAGTAATCTTAAATTACCTGCATATATCTCTCATCAATTTACTGTTGAGATTTGCACCATTATCAGTAATGATGGATTTTGACACTCCAAACCTTCTTATTAGATTGTTGCGAACAAAATCAGCTACAACTTTCTTGGTTACCGATTTGTACAAAGCTGCTTCACCCACTTGGTGAAGTAGTCAAAGGCAACCAAAATAAATCTGTGTCCATTAGAGGCGGCTGACTCTATCTGACCGATGACATCCATGCCCTATGCTACAAACGGCCAAAGTGAACTCATAACATTGAGTTCGTGAGGCCTCACTCGGATGAAATCGCAATGCACTTGATATTTATGACATTTTAAAACAAGCTTGCAACAATCATGCTCCATAGTTATCCAGTAGTAGCCGGCTTAGAGGATCTTCCTTGCCAAAGTGAGTCCATTCAAGAAGACCTAAATATGGATTCCACCTATAAAGGACTTCTCTTCTCAGGAAGAAGTTGAGGGCCATACGGTGTATCAACTTTTTTTGGTTGGATGTTGCTTCTGCAAGATAAATCCCAAACTGAAAATACTTCTTTATATAAAAATACCATGGCAAACTGTCTGGTTCTGCTTAAACATGTGAACAATGGACCGGATGTTCTTTCAAATCTATATCAGAAGATCAATATAATCGTTAACGAATGCTTAATAATTGAGGCAATGGTGGAAAGAGCATCATCCAACTCATTCTGTGTTCTGCGCGTATTTTTGAATTAAATCTTACAGAATTTTCTGAACAACTTCTGTATATATGGCACATACGATGTGATCTTTGGGTTCTTCATGACCCATTCTCCTTGAACTTGATGAATTAATAAATCTAAATCTCCAATAACCAACAGCTCGTGGACGTTCATGTCAATGGCCATCTTCAGACCAAGGATACAAGATTCATATTCAGCCATGTTGTTAGTGCAATTAAGCTGGAGTTTGGCTGCCATAGGATAGTGCTGACCGGGTTCTGACACTAAGACCGCTCCGATACCTTTTCGTTGGTGATTTTCCGCTCCATTAAAGGATAATCTCCATGTAGGATATATTTCAAAAATATCTTCACCCACAAATGATACTTCTTCATCGTGAAAATTAGTCTTAAGCGGTTCATACTCTCTATCGACGGGATTTTCTACGAGATGATCGGCCAAGGCCTGCGCTTTTATCGCCTTCTGAGTCACATACACAATATCAAATTCACTCAAATCATTTGCCATTTGGCCAACTTTCTTGTTGGCATCGCTTTGTGGAAAATGTTCTTCAATGGGTCTATTTTGGAAATAAGGTATATTGTATGAGAAGACAAATAATATCTCAACTTCTGAGCGATCTAAGTAAAAGCACAACTCCTTCTCTCCAAAAGAGTATAACAAGACTCATATGGCGTGAAATTCTTGCTTATACAATAAATGGATTTCTCCTTCTTCCCTGTTTTTTCATGCTGCCCAATCACGCATCCAAATATGTTATCTTAGACGGACAGATAAAATAACAATGGACTCCCTTCTCACGGAGGAACCAATACCGGTGGATTGGACAAATAGTTCTTGATAGCATCAAAAACAGTCTTACACTTTTTAGTCCACTTTGTCAAAGCGTCTTTCTTCAGCATCTTGAAGATAGGCTCACACACCACATATGATTGAGCTATGAATCGACTGATGTAGTTCAACCTTCCTAAGAAACTCATCACCTCTTCTTATCTTTTGGAGGAGGTAACTCTTGAATTGCCTTAATATCTAAAGGTTCGAGCTCAATACCTCTTTTGATGACTATAAATCCCAACAACTTGCCGGCTGGCACCCCAAAAACACATTTAGCGGGATTCAGATTCAAGTTATAACGTCGTAGACGATCAAAAAATTTCTTTAAATGCGTCAAGTGGTACGAACTCTCGCGGGACTTGACTATGACATCATCTACATACAGCTCGATGTCCTTATAAATCATGTCATGAAATATGGTCGTCATAACCCTCATATAAGTAGCGCCAACTTTTTTGAGACCAAGTGGAATCACCCCTTAATGATATACACCCCAAGGCGTACTAAAAGTTGTCTATTCTGCATCTTTTTCATCCATCAAAATCTGGTGATAGCCTGCGTAGCAATCCACAAATGACTGCATTTCTTGTTTAGCACAGTTATCGATCAGAATGTGAATATTTATAATGGGAAATTATCCCTTTGGCTGGCTTTGTTAAGATCTCTGTAATTGACACAAATTCTGATCTTCTCATCTTTTTTGGTGATCGGAACAACGTTGGCCAACCAAGTAGAGTATTGCATCACTTCCACTACGCAAGACTCAATCTATTTAGTGATCTCTTCTTTATTATTCAATCTTAATCAGGCTTGAACTTCCAAGCCTTCTGTTTCACTTGACTGAACCCTTGACTAATCGGTAGCTTGTGAGACATCACATTGGTACTTAGCCCTATCATGTCACTGACTTCCCAAACAAACACATCAATATATTCAGTAAGAAAATGTATCATGTCCTTTATTTGAGATTCATTCAAATGGATAATGATTTTGAACTCTTTGACACACACTTGGTTTCCCAGATCCACGGTTTCAGTTTCTTCTAAATTTGGCTTATGTTGATTTTCAAACTGCCGAAATTCCTCATCAACATATTCTAGTACCTCATTTACACGGAATGTATTGGAGGCTGTTGGAACAAATCATCACCGGTGGCATTTACCAGCTCCATCGTGTAGAAATAGGTACCTCGCGAGACTTCATCAATAATGGGCGTCTGCCTGCCGGAGTGACGTCCTTTGCGGTGAATAACTAGTTATAGTCCTTCCAAACGATCTTCATCATCTGGTGAAAAGTAGAAGATACAACTCTAGCCATATGGATGAAAGACCTTCCCAGAAGAAGGTTATATGTTCAAGAGCTGAAACTATGCACTGAATTCTGCCTGACCCATTTGTATGGCCAAGTTCACATCTCCCAATGTGTCTCTCTGCACTCCATCAAAGGCTCTTACATTGCCCTGATTTTGTTCCATCTTCCCCTAGTCAAACCTTAACTTCCTTAGAGTTGGTAGCTTGCAAATATTGAGACCAGACTCATCATCCATCAGGACATGGTTTATGAACCTTTTGCGGCATATGGCGGTGACATGCAATGCCTTGTTGTGTGACCTTCCTTCAAAGGGCAACTCTTCGTCGCAGAAGCTAATCTGATGACCCCGTATAACTTGGTTGATCATAGCCGCCACTTTATCACCGCTGGTTGTGCCAATGGGCACATATGTATCATCAAGAGCCTTCATCAAGTCCTATCTATGCAATTGAAAGCTCATCAAAAGGGCCCACACAGAAATTTGGGATGGATTTTTCTCTAAATGCTTAACAATCAAATAATCCTTTGGCTGCATCTTTCTCCAGAATTTTTTCATTCGCCCTCACTTATTGGCCTTTTCCCTTGATCCTTCTTCTTTTTTCCAAAATCCAACTCTTTGGGAGTATAACACCTCCAAGATTGGGTCATTCCTTGAGCGGCAAACGTTTCAATCACAAACTTTGTCCTAGCAGTATCTTCAATGGCACCAAGGCAACCTATGCGGGTGTCAGGATCATGAACTCCTTTTCTCTTTAACGCTCAGCGAGGCCACAACCCTTTCCAACTCATCATGGACAATCAGAGTTAGCACCTTATTCATGCACCTGTCATCATCCGTCTCTATCATATTGAGGCCTCCATGATTTGGCAAAGGATTAGTGTTGACATTGGGTGCGACTGTTTGAACAAAAATCACTTCTTGGTCGATCAGATCTTGAATCTTGTGCTTGAGGTTGATTTTACAATCCTTAGTATTATGTCGAACGCTGTTGGAGTGATACGTACACCTTTGATTGGGTCTGTAGAATTTGGAACTAGTATCCACCGGCTTGGGCCTTATTGGGTGAATGTATCCAGCTACAGCCAGTCACTCTTACAAATTTGTTCGACTTTCAGCAAGCGCGGTAAAGTTTCTGGGGGGATTCTTCTTGAATCTGGGTCAAGAGGGATCATAGTTGCCTTGTTGGGAGGAGGCATCTGTTGATAATTTTCAGTTTTTAGACAGAGAGTTTGGTTTCGTGGATAAAGTTTTGTTTGGTAATTTAGCCATGGAACTTGGTAGTTCGTGGGTGTATATTGGTATACTGAAGCTTGTACTTGATATACTGGTGGGGGTACTCTGTAGCTTGACTTCACATTGGCACAGTTAGGAGCAACATTTTGGTAAACGGGAGATGTAATTTGGTAAAGTGGGGGAGAGTTTTGGTAAATGAGAGATGGATTTTGGTATTTTGGAGAGGGGAAATTTGGTATGTGGATGTAGCATTTCGGTAGACAAGGGGAGGAGTATTTGGATAACAGGCTTGCGTGTAGCAAGCCTGGTAAGAATTTTGGGAGGGTCAAGGGTGACGCTGGTAGGATGATAATCTTCTGGGGATCTTCCTCCCCTCATAAGCGACAGTAGAAATGTCTTCTTTATTCTTTTTCAACAAGCTAGATGATCCAGGAGACACAACAACATGGGAAATCTTCCCGATTTTCAACCCATCCTCGATAATATCAGATACTTTGACTATCTTAACAAATTTTGCTCCAACGAGCAATATAATTCTATCACAATATTCGGTCTCTTGCATTCGCACAAACACTTCAACTATTTATTTTTTCAGACATAGGAGGTCGTACTTTAGCTGCTTCCTATCTCCACCCATATTAAAACCCTCTGTAGCTCTCAGTGGACTTTTGCTTCATCTTTTCTAAGGAGTAGCTATCGGGAACGATTTCTATATTATAGGCAAATCGATTGATAAAATCCTTGGCCAAGGCATTCCAACTGGGCCATTGTCTAGTCTCATGGGAATTGAACCATTCTAGAGCCTCCCCGCATAGATTTTGGCTAAAGAGACGCATCAACAAAGATTCATCTCTAGCAACCCCGACAAGCTGGTCGCAGTAGGATTTCAGATGGGTCATAAGATTCCCTACTCCTCTGAAAGTGTCAAATTTTGGAATATTGAACCCTTCTTGGAGGTCCATATTTGGATGAATGCATAAATCTTCATAGTTCATACCAGCAACGTCGGGAATGAATTTGAACTTCTTCACTACTGTTCTGATCTCTTCTTTTATATTTTTCTTTTGCCTCTTCGTTTTCCTTCCACTCTCTTTCCTTGTCCTCGTAATGGTCAATCTCAAAACCATGCACGTCGTGCTCAGTTGGGATAAAAATCTGGAAAGTTGTTCTTTTAGGTTGGGTTGGAACAACGGAAGGACTTTGGGCATTCTATGTAGTTTGGTAGTTTTGCGGATAGGGTTGGGGATTATATTTTGGTTTTGGTGGTGGTGAGGAGTTTGGGGGTGGAATGCATTTTAGTTTTTGTTTTGATTCTGGTTTTGCAGTGGTGGAGTGGTTTGATGGTGGGTATTTTGGGGATGAGGTGGTATTTGAGAATGATTGTTTTTGAGGCGGTGGTGGATTTTGGTAAGAGGCGTAGGCGTATTGAGGGTTTTGTGTCGTCAAGTCTAATACTGACAGATTTTGAGCAGGAGTAGACGGCGGATTCTGAGCTGGATCCATGTTTGAAGAGGGAGAATATAGAGGAGGTCTCTCATTAGTAGTAGCATTGGTAGTAAAACCTGGTGGAGGTAGATTCTGTCTCCTTTGCATCTCCACTCTCATCTCAGCGATCTATTGCATCAACTGTATAATCAGCTTGTTCTGATCCGCCATGGTAGGTTGAGCCAAAACAACGTCAGTAAGACTGATTTCTTCGTTGTTGTCCCCCATTCTTCTTTTCCTTTGTCTGAACTTTGGCCGGGAAAGGAATCTTGTAACGATCCTTTTGATATTTTTGAGTACTAGAACTTTAATTTCATCAAAACACTTTTCGTTAGATTTTAAATATCTATTTTGGAATATTTGTATTTATAATTATAAAATTAGTGGGATAATTTTAATAATTTATTTAGTTGGCGGTTAAAGAAAATAACATTAATATTAATAGTGGGTCACTTTTACTATCTTTATTATTAGTTAGGTATACAATTAGGGTAACAAAAATTAAATTAAATAAAAAGAATGTTTTTTTATTATTTGTATCCTTATACAACTAATGTGCGGCGGAAACTATTGTGATCTCAAGATTAGGAACTTGAATATAGATTTGTGTTTGATGACATGTTGGATCAAAGCTAGAAATATAGCAATATAGATGTCTATAGGCTCGTATTTACAAATATGGTATACTTGATAGATTGTAAAAGCTCGGAGGCTTTGAGGAAAGGAAAAGTATTGAAAAAATAGCTTGCACGACTTCGGTTCTTCGGTAGAGGTAGGTTATGGTTTATGCAATTTGATAGTAAACTCTTAATAGTGATTGATATGTATTGAATGATATTGTGAAGTTCTCTACGTAATTGACTGTGTGATTTTGAGATTGTGTGATTTAATTGTGTGGTTTGTGATTGGTCTGAAATCCTGAAACCGTGAAATTTATAATTTTTAACGTTTTATCGAAATGATGCCTTGAATAAAGAAGGCTTGATGAAATATTATCAATGAATTGAAAGTGGTGATAATAACTGATAAATTAAAGTTATTATTTGACCGGAGTGTCACGTTCCAACGCAGTATAATTGGATCAGAGTGTCACGTTTCGACACATTATAATTGGATCGGACTGTCACGTTCCGACATTGTATTTTTGGATCGGAGTGTCACGTTCTGACACGGTATAATTGGATCACGTTTCGATACAGTATAATTGGATCAGAGTGTCACGTTTCGACATGATAATTTTAAATGAAAAACATATTGCATTAACGGAATTACTCAACTTCAATGAACTCAATTTCCCCCACTAGTTTAGTTGGAGGCATGAGTCCTCACGGATGATCTTGATATTGTTGACACTTGTTCAAATTGTTTGTTTCTTAACACCTGTTAAGTTCTATAACTGAGTTAATACAATTATTGATTGTATATTATTTTCTATTTGGGTTGGACGATGATACTTACTCAGTACATGTTGTCCCGTACTGAGCTGTACTTGTGTTTCTCTTTGTTTCCTTTTATGAAATGCAGCGAGTGTACCAATGACTTCAAATTGCCCTCAGCTCTAGCCAGTCTCCCGCATATTAGGTTCCAGGGTGAGCTATTCACTCAAGCTCGTGTTCGATAAATCAAGTTTGTGTGCAATTATAATAGAGACTAAATTGGTGATTGTGGTGGCTGGAAAATCAAAGCGATAGAGTTAGATGAATGAAAATTTTTGATATGGGCACTAAGAAAGGAGTATCTAGAGTTATTCGACCTTGGTTATGTACATTCTTATGTGACCAACTACTTCAATCTCGGTGTGGTTTAGAGTATGATTCAGTCCGTGTGTGTTTTCGATTCCAAGGATGAGTCATTAGTAGTGGATCGAGTGTACCGATTCTATGATTGTCCTCCTAGTAGGGTGGACTTGTTCATTCCAGATATGAAAGATTTGGTGTTTTTTATGATAATTGAAGTATACTAGTGATCCAACACACACAACATTGCTTACGAGAATTTAAAAGAGAGATACCATGAAAACTTATAGTTGTTTGATAGACTTAAAGTTATCTCATCATCAGTATTATGATTTGTCTGTGTGCTATGGAATGTGAAGACCATTGTAGTTTTTTCATTCTTAAGGTTTGATTATAATATCTACTAATCTAGCATTTTGAGAATGTTGTTAGAGGTCATGTATACTTGGTTGCATCACACGATGGATGGTTACTTGATCTTTTTTTTCTCGAGGTTAGATAAGTCTAATTTTCCCTTGATGAGTACCTTACGTCTAAAGGTTATTTTTTTATATATAACATAAGTTCATGGAAAGTTTATGTTGTGAGAATGAAATATTGAAAATATCTATGATGGTTTGTGCACTATGAGTAGGGTGGTGGTTGATTTAGGTTCACTTCTTATTGGAATCCGTATTGATTCAACATTTTATGGTGGTTATATGAAAAAGATTCCACCTAATAGTTATGGTAAGGTCCTTGAGAATATGTTGTATATGTATGTGCGATTAGCTTTGATGGCTATTGAGAATACAATTGTTGTTAGCTGAGTTTACATACAACAATAGCTACCACTTGAATAGTTATATGACACTATTGAGACATAGTAAGGAGATATAGCTCCCCCGTTGATAGGTTGATGCATTTGAGGTAAGACCTTGGGAGACTGAGCATGATATGCACGAAAGATATTCACAGGTTTTTGTTGATTCTTGTACCCTATGGTATCCTCACCTTCTTTTGATCGTTCGAGGACGAACGATGGGTAAATTGGTATCTATTGTAACTATTCTTTTGATCGTTTTGAGTACTAGAACTTTTATTTCATCAAAATACTTTCCGATAGATTTCAAATAGATATTTTGGACTATTTGTAATTATAATTATAAAATTAGTGGGGTAATTTTAATAATGTATTTAGTTGGTGGTTAAACAAAATAACATTAATAGTGGGTCACTTTTAATACCTTTATAATTAGTTAGGTATACAATTAGGGTAACAAAATTTAAATTAAATAAAAAGAATTTTTTTAATTATTTCTATCCTTGTACAAATAATGTGCGGCGAAAACTATTGTGCGAGAGAACTCAACTTTGACTTCGTCGGAATGTGCTAAAAGTTTCTCGAGGTAATGCATAATGAAGGTCAATATTACTTTCCACAAATTAATGGTTGCGGGAGGGATATATATTATTTTAATATTATGGTGAGAATTATTGTTGTTATATATGTTGGTTGAAAATCATTGAATTGAGGAACTAAAGTCTTATTATAATGTTAAACTTATTAATAAGAATTGAAGTTAAAATTTATGGGCAGCTTGTGGATTAATTATCTTAGTTTATATTGTTAATAAATTGTAAAAGATAATTACGATATAGTATTGGCCAAGAATTTGAAAGTTAATGAATATGATATGTTTGTGTAGGAATTTGTTATTTTAGAAACATGAGGTTACAGTGATTATACAATATTAGTTGGTAGTTTTTTTTAGTGTTAATGTATTAAAATGAATTAAACATTATTTATTTATTCATGTGAATTTGTGTTCGTGGCATTATTTTAAGACTTGTTAATGGACAATTAATTATTGTCAATGGACTAATTTATTACATACATATAATATATAAAATGAATAGAGTGGCTTGAAAGTGAAGGTCGTGGATACTGCACATAATTTTAAGTATCTCGTTATAAATTTAAGTTTCGAATTATAGATATAGGTAATTAAAAATTAGGTATATCAAATTATTTAAGTACAATTAAGATTATGTCAATGGAAAGAATTAAGACTTAACCCTAACATTGAATTGAGAAATGAGAAACTTAGCATATTAAGTGATCTCAAGATTAGGAACTTGAATATAGATTTGTGTTTGATGACTTGTGGGATCTAAGCTAGAAATATAGCAATATAGATGTCTATAGGCTCTTATTTACAAATCTGGTATACTTGATAGATTGGAAAAGATCCGAGGCTTTGAGAAAAGGAAAAGTGTTGAAAAAATAGCTTGCATGACTTCGGTTCTTCGGTGGAGGTAGGTTATGGTTTATGCAATTTGATAGTAAACTCTTAATAGTGATTGATATGTATTGAATGATATTGTGAAGTTCTCTATGTACTTGACTCTTTGATTGCGAGATTGTGTGATTTGGTTATGTGGTTTGTGATTGGTCTGAAATCCTGAGACCGTGAAATTTATAATTTCTAACCTCTTATCAAAATGATGCCTTGCATAAAGAGGCTTGATGAAATATTATCAATGAATTGAAAGTGGTGATAATAACTGATAAATTAAATGTATTATTTGATCGGAGTGTCACGTTTCGATACAATATAGTTGGATCAGAGTGTAACGTTCCAACACAGTATAATTGGATCGGAGTGTCACATTTCGACACAGTATTTTTGGATCAGAGTGTAACGTTCCGACACGGTATAATTGGATTGGAGTGTCACATTCTGATACAATATAATTGGATTGGAGTGTCACGTTACGACACAATAATATTAAAGGAAAAACATATTGCATTAGCGGAATTACTCAACTTCAAAGAACTCAATTTCCCCCAATAGTTTAGTTGGAGGCATGAGTCCTCATGGATGATCTTGATATTGTTGACACTTGTTCAAGTTGTTTGTTTCTTATCACCTGTTAATTGCTATAGTTGAGTTCATACAATTATTCATTGTACAGTAGTTTCTATTTTGGGTTGGCCGATGATACCTACTCAGTACATGTTGTCCCGTACTGAGCCATACTTGTGTTTCTCTTTGTTTCCTTTTATGAAATGCAGCAAGTGTACCAATGACTTCAAATTGCCCTCAGCTCTAGCTAGTCTCCCGCATATCAGGTTCCGGGGTGAGCTATTCATTCAAGCTTGTGTTGGATTCTCTTGGTCATGACATGATGTCGTATACTTTCGGGCACATACCATTCTATTCTTCTTTTTTGGTGTATTTGATATTTTATACGTTGTATTGGAGATTAGATATCCTTGATCTGATGACTTTCAGGTTTTGGGAAATGTTATTTAGTAAGATTTTGAGTTTCCGCATTATCTTTGTATTTTGTAAATTAGGCTAAATTGGTTGGTTAGCCCACTTAGGAGGTTAAGTGTGG